TTCAACACACTAATGAATAAATTTTAATATGAGTTGCCAAATATCTCTGCTTTTAAATTACCTGAGATCCTGGTTTCAAAATATGACTTCATTGAATGTTTTTCTACACTTTCTTACTTTAAATGTAAACTCTGTCAGATAATTTATACACTTTGATTTGTTAACTGTTTGTCCGTGGTTGAATTAATTAATTTTGTTTTCAAGTAATGGTTTTGTAGGGATTGTGTTTGATTGGTTGAAGGATTTCGTGAGCTGACATCAATTAGAGGACCATTGAAGCACTGGTCAACTAAGTGTTTCGTCCTCTTTTGGGATTCTTCATCAGTACTTACCCACCACAAAGTGTTCGAACCCAGGACCTACTGATTATAAGGTCAGCCCGTAGACCATTAAACCACTGGGACCCTATCCAGTTGCTAGCCCATCAATTACAACTTCTGCCAGCAGGGTGGGAGTGAGGGCAAATACTCGCTGAAGATATCGACTGGTAGTCACGCTGTGTCATGAATTGGCAGAAATTGGAACCCATGGGTCGGCCACTAGATTGGGTCTCAGTGGCTTAATGGTCTACAAGCTGACCTTGTAACCATGGTGGTAGTTGCGTACTGATGAAGAGTCCTAAAGTAGGGTGACACACCTTGTTGTCCAGCGCTTCCACGTTTTCCAATGGTACTCTAACTCATGTCATTTCATTAATTAATCCTCCAATCAATTAATTTTGTGTTGGAGATAATGTTTATCGTGGCTTCGATGAGAAATACTTGCCTAATTCTTTTTGATTTTTATATTGATTAGAATAAATTAAACTTTAAGTGATTTGTTATCGCCGTTATCGTCGTGGTTTATAAGCTGAATTTCATAAATGTTCCAGTTCATCTCTGATCACGTGGAGAAATGAATACTAATAGAGAAATAGTAATAGAGAACACTATTAAGATGAATAGTGTTGATAAGTATAATTAAGAAAATAAAATCTGATAAGTGACAACTTTCTGTCACGCTTCCAATGCTACTCGTTCCTAACTCTAGTATTGTTGTTCACTTCTTAAGTTGCTGGAAAACATCCCTAATTTCTCCGTTTATTTCATGTTGGTCTTTAAATTTAAGTTTTTCAGTACGTCACTTTCACGCATATATATATATCCGCCTCACTTATTTGGGAAGTTGCATCAACCAGCACCAAGGGGTTGATTGCTGACAAATGCTCAGCATGGATACAGAGGGCTGGTTTCACATGTGTCAGTTTAAACCGTCTTTGGCTTTGACGTGATATCCGGCTATCGACCAAAGGACGTGTGAACTACTTTACAGTCTGCTCCGTCCTGCTTTATAGCTAGCTGTGAGACCTGGTCATTAAGAGTCGAAGACACGAAAAGCCTGGCTAGCTGTCTTTGATCATAGGTGCCTGCGTTCTATCTCCGGTCTGAAGTGGCATAAACGGGTAAGCAATATTGAGGTTAGGCTTTGGTCGAGTGCTAGGTAAAGGGGAAATCAGTCGACGAGGCTGTGAACCTATGTCGACCAAGATGGTTAGGACATGTGTTACGTATGCCTAGTCTTTGCCTGCCCAGCGGTGGTCAAACCCAAACATAGCACCAGCCAATGAAATCCAAGAAGGTTAGTTTAAGCCACGTAGGAAGGTGCAGACACCCTGGCTGGGGTACTTGGGAAGGTAAACAGCAATGAAGTCTGGAGACAACTAGTGATATGGCTCAAAGTCGTTTTCAATGGCGCATATACATCCACTCCTTGTGACATGATATCCAATGAAACTATATTGTTCTTCGTTATTAGTATTCCTTCTGTCTCATATCCCTGTCTGATGTCTGTATTATGCACTTCTTCTACTTTCTTCTCTTGCTTTGTGTGCTACATGGAGTTTGTCGACTTGAACTGCTGCAAAGGTGCAAAGGTCTATGTTGAAAACAGACAGATAGGCAATCAATATCTGCATAAATATTAAAGATATTGAATTGTCTTGTCTTACACAAATCAAGGTCCAGTACTGTGCTGAATAACGTGAAGCTCGTCTATTTCAAATTCCTCCAGCAAATCGATATATAAATTTCTCTAACCTTATCCAAACTAAAATAGTAGTCTGCTGACAACCAGCATGTAGTCTGCTGACCAACATTTTTACTTCAGACTAGCTAGGCAAGCGGAATTGGACAGTAGTTGGGCCTTAAATCACAAAGGTGATTATATTCTCAATTTTCAAACAGGACACAATATACTGTCTTAAACGCGAAGTGCTTCACTGCACTGCTTACTGAAACTAGTGTGATTGTGTTAAAAGTTGTGTATTTCTGTTATCTTTCTTCTGAATTAATTTCATTAAGTATTCTGACAATTAGATAAATTTTGTTAGAGTTGTTTCGGCATAAGATTATTCATATATGAATAGTCTTTTACCTGAAGTGAACCAATGGTCTTATTCAAATTATGTGAAATTGAACTCACTTTGAATGTTAGACTGCTAATTTTAGTTTCGGGAGTGAACAAGACTTCTGTGGACAGCTTCAGTTGCCAAAAATAAGTTAAATATTACTTATCTCAGCATAAATTTTGTTTCTAGTCCTTAATGGTCGTCTTATATTATTTTGATTTAAAAAACGTTTTATTTGACCCACTAAATAAGGGAGTTGAGACTTTCTGACATAATTCAGCCTTTTCCTTTGCAGTTTATTATTCCATTGTGCGTCGATGGCACAGCGGTTAGCATGCTCGTTGACCATGTACATGGTCCGGAGTTTGATCACTGCCCACCCGACGCACTCCTTTACCTCACTTATCTAGTAATAAGACTGGTACAGAGAGGAGGTTGGGCAAGAAGCTGGCAACCCCATCCTATAAAAACAAACACTGCTACAGAAACTTCAAGCCTGAAGCCTTATGTTCCACCGGAAACGTGAAGGAAATAAATAATAATAATAAAATAATGCAGCATGGTTACGAAAAGACACTAGTGGTGCAATAAGGAGTGCGGTAATTGAGCAACTGGTTAACACTGATCATTCCACCTCAACAAACGCCTCCTGCTTCAAAGTAATCTACAGTGTTAAGAATAACCTACCAAAGGCGATACAGTTTCGTCTTCTTTGTATCGTTGAAGCTCCGGTTATTCACATAGAAAAGCCGGAGCTGTGCATACAAAAGAGAATTACTCAACCACTTGCATTATCATGGTGACAACTTTGTTGATTTATGGTGACTTTGTTTTGTTTTTTGCCCGTTTCTTTAATTGCCTATAGTTCTTGTATTCATTTAGAACTCTTAGGTGATTTCGTTTTCTCTAATTTGTTCCAATGTGTATCTTGAGTAAAACCCACTCATCAGACTATTCATATTAATACATAAATTCTGTTTAACAACTGTTTGTGACAACTCATCACATTCGTTACTACCCTAATTTCATTAACGCCTAATTTTCTTGACCGATTTTTTCTTACGTAAGTCCAATTACCAATCTTTACATGTTTAGTTAAAATAACCATAACCAATTGTGATTTTGTTTGACGAACTTAATGAACACATACATACAAACTAGCACATATATTTGCAACTGTACAGCTAAGAAAATGAATTTGTCGCCGAAAAGAGACTCTCCGCTGAACTAAGTGTTTTGTTTTCAAACGTAGAGATAAAAAATATCAGTCATCATCAACAGGAGGAATTCAAAGGAAGTCACCCCTTTCGCTTATCTAGGCAGCATCATTTCAACTACAGGCAGGCGGCACAGTTGATGACATGAAATGCAGAATCAAAAAAAGAAGACTAACCTTCGTCAATCTAAAGTCGGTATGGAAATTTACTGCATAAAGAATAAGTGCTTCTGTACAGACTTTATGTTTCACCAAAATCATTTCAGGCAGTCCACAGACTTTTATCATCAGTTGACTTCGCTGCATAGTGAACACCAGATGGTGAGTCAAAGATGATAAGCAACAAGGATTTCTGCATTGCGACGAACCAACCAAAAACCTATCGCTCAAAATAATTGTCAAAGGAAATGGAGATGGACTGGATACTCTCTGATTTAACCGCCGAGTGACATCATGCACCACATAGGGCCTTAAGTGGACGCCAAATGGCAGACGATGTGTTGTGCTTAGGCCCAAGAAGATCTTATGAGGAAGAGATGAACGCTTGCGGTCAGTTGTGCATCCAAGTGAGAAGAACTGCAGATAACAAAGTGAAATGGTGTCGTGCTGCTGAAGTCCTATATTCCATCTAAAACCGAAGGAAATTACATGAACAATTCTTCTTTCTTGTTTCCTCTTATTTTTCTTCTTAGCTACTGAAAGGTACTTGTACCATATTACATAGGATTTTGAGTGTTGGGAAGAAGGGCTAGTGGTGTGACTCTGATGTGACCGACTGATACTGTTGTTCAGTGACATTTAAATTGATCAGAGCATTCAGTTAAGGTTGTCATCTCAGACAATGAACAACCACTTTGTACGGAAAACCTTCCTTGTATCTCTTTATGAACAACTAGAAGTTATTTCGTTAGAGTTTATGCATGAATGGTTAAATACAATAATTCAGCCCCATGCTATTTTGAAGCACAGTTGCTTGACAAAGAAATCGATATCAGAAAAGGACTAAAACACCTACTTTTATCTGACAGTCCCTTATGCATTATCACTATCTATGTTAACATTTTACTTAAATTCAGTTTTCGACCTTGTTCGTTTTCGAACTTATTGCGATAAGGAAGTGCTGAAAATTCCCTTCTGTACAAAAGCTTTTGTTTGGAATAAAGCGATTACTATTATTATTAAAAACACACTTTCACAAATTAAAGCAAAATAATATGAGTACAGAAAAAACTTTAAAAGTTGTAGGCATGACAATTTTATTAACTTAATAAGTTAAATTAAAGAATGAAGTTTCTTTTTAAAATTTACCAACATGGATACAGAAAAAACAACAACAGACAATACATTTAACATGAAGTTTATTGGTATATCAAAGCAACATGTCGATGATTTCCCCACTTATTTCTCGCCGCTAAAATAAGATAAAATGGGTTGTTTTAGATGTAGACAGAGTACGAATTTACATAAGAAATATCAATAAAATTGAAGCAACTCATTGAAACGATTCAGTTAAATTCGTGCCTCACATAGACCATGAATATAAAATATTCATCTTTCAATTTCAAAATTCATCTTAAGATTTCAGTCATATTTATTTGTTTTATTTGCATAAATTATGAATCTTGAAAGTATTTGAAACTCTTAGTTATCATTTCGACTTTCGTAAAGACAGATGAAAGTAACATATCTTTTTACGAAAAAGTAATTCAGACATTACTTTGATCCGCTACTGTAAAATGTAAAATAAACCTGAGTGTCCTGTTGCAATTTACACTTTACAATTTGTGCTGAATAGTATAAAACCCATTTTATATGACCGCATGCCTCGTGAAATAAGTAGTTCAAAACACTACAGTAAAATGCAACATACAGATTATTGAAACAGTTGCATAATTCTGCATTCATACACTTTCTCTATAGTTTTGGAGGGAGTCAGAGTGATTTCAAGGCTGTTACTGTTTGGCATATTGAGTTCATTTGACAATAATTTCCAGAAAAGTAATGGAAAAGTGGGGCAAAGGCTAGTATGCTTGCTGTAATTGTCTCTGATGCGATCAGTGCCTTAAAGCAGCAGTATCGTAATGGATTGTTCATGTTCAACTAAGAAGCATGCAACGTCATTCTGAACTCATCTAACTGTCATTCAGTGTGTTTATGTATTGTACAACTTAGATTCTGAACTGGACTAAAAGTAAACTAGTCTCCATTGTTTGCAATATACACAGAATATGCTAAAGGTTTATTTTATTATTTTTCAGCATTCAAGAGCTTCTAGAAGCTTGCCTAGTGGTTTACTTTTTTATTTTTGATTACAAGCTGTAATCAAAAATAAATAAATAAAATACATGCAGTACAGGATTTCAGATGGCGAAGTACAATGTTTATCTTTAGCTTGTAAACAAAAAAGACAGTATCTGTTTCAGCAAATAGTAGCAAAAGATTTGAACGAAAAGTAACAAGGAACTTAACTTACAAATAGCTCCACACTAAACGGAACAATTAAGTTAAATCATAACAACGAAAAAATGAATCAGCATCCTGCTCATCAAGCAGTTGCGTACTCCAAAAATGATTATTTTACCACCAGTGTTGAATTTACTAATTAGATGATAGATAATTGACCCCTTATTAAATCAAATTTTTCATATACAATTGGTGGATGGCGGCTAGCAGTGGAATCCAGGATGCGCATTTCGTCCCAATTGGGACTCGTCATCTGGATGTACCTGCATTTCTCAGTGAGTGATGATGTTCCCACCGAGGCTCGAACCCAGTGCCCATAGTTTCAAACGCCAAAGCGTTATCCACTAAACCTGAGACCAAGCACTTCGGTCCAATCAATCGACGGGAAAATCAAAAATTCAATCCAATAACAAATTTTTCATAGTATTTGGAAGACGTCTTCCATGTATTCTGCGATTGTAATCGGTCTCCGAACCACGTGCATGGTTGGCAAGCATTCTACCAGTGAACCACCGACGCAATAATTTTCCAATGGGATTAAAATTTTTGGTATGAGAGTTCCTTGTGGTGAGTAATATGAAACCACACACACACACATACACACCACACCACATACACACAACCATACAACTTGTTAATATTCTTCAGAAAAGTGATTGAGGCAAACAACGCATGTTAAAAAATGATGAAATACAAGAAAATAAGTTCCATGTTACTCAAACTATATGACATGTCATCCTGCAGCCGATAAGTGTGCTTTACGCAATCACACAAAATGTTGTCGATCGAGTCGCAGACTTAACACAGGGTCTTTACATCCAGGTTGGGATACGTTTATTAACGAGTGCCGATAGGAATAGCACGTAGGCCTAACACTTCTGCAACACTGATCCCCAACACCCAGTAGTGAAATAAGTATAGTGAGTGTAGATATCAATTATTCAAACAAAAATTATTCTTCAGATGTTGTCAAAAGTTTAACTGGCAGATTGTGGTTTATTGTTGAAGATGAGACATGAAATATTCTGTTAAGTGAAAGAGATTCACATATTAATTAACATTCTTTTGAATTACCTATTGATAGTTTACTTATGCATTACATTTCTGGTGGTATGTTTTATTTTTGTTATTAGCTATGCCTGTAGTGTGTGGTTTTAATCATTCTACGAAGTGAACAATATTGGTTTACCAGTGTAATAATGACACACATTTTGCAAAATGACACACTTGTTTATTTTAACAAAGAATGGAGTGACGGAGCTACGTACAATAGTTTTAAACCGATTCCCATTCCTGCCAACTTCTTAGATAACTACATTTTATTTTCATTTTTTATTGTTGATTCACAGCCTGATTCTACACTGTATTTTCGGCACAAGTGTGGAATTTTCAGCATGGATATCGGTAGCCCAAATTTTGCAGGCCGACCATAGATATCAGGTGTGCGTCGGCAGGGGGTCGAACCTCGGACCATGTGCATGGTAGGCGAGAGTCCTAACCACTGTGCCTCCTACACCACTGTAAATAGAAGAGACTAGTAAATATTTAACCATTATATGTTACTTGATAAAATACTTACATGGACCAAGAAGGCCTGAAATTTAAAGTCACAGTTTATTAATGTATTATAGTGCCAGTTATTTGAGTCTACTCATTATTAAAAACGTTATTGTTGACGCGAATCACTTCGTTGTTGGAAAATATGATCAAATGCGGTTGAAACAAGTGCAGATTCATCCTCGAGAAGTGTCACATTTTCTTACAATAAAAGGCAAATGTTACTGACTGCGTCTTGCGCTGGAATTTGTACAACCACAATATCTATTCCTTTATCACAGATCAGTTATTAGTTCACAGTGAAGAGTCAGTTATCTCGAGTCTGTTTATAGCTGTATTCAAAATTTCACACGTACTTGGAGAATATAAACATGAAACAAACTTCCAAAATTATTTGAAAATAAACAGCTCGCAGTCACTCACTGTTTAACATTAGTGACGTCGAATGAAATTACCTCATCATGTAGATGTATTTTGGGTTTTTATTTTACGGTGTTTCACATCTTGAACGATAAGATGAGGTATTATAAAGCAGCGTAATGTATCAAACGAAGCTGTATATATTTCTGATCTGAGTTTGAGAAATTTAATAATATAGCTTCTTTTTATATGCTACCAAATACTGACTTGGTTCTTTTAAAATCGATGGAAAACATTAGACCTTCTCCTCACCGCATTCAACTGAAAGCATTCATCCTAGTTTGGAAATCACCGGTAGAACGCACCCACTGGGTTTCGAACCCAGGACCTTCCGGTTACAAGGCAAGCTCATATTCCATTCAGCCACTGGGACCCGATTCACTGACCCTGGGTTCGAACCCCAGTGGGTGCGTACTGTTGGTGATTCCCAAACAAGGATGAAACAGTTGTTCAACACTACCTGGTTTTCAGTGATCTCTTAATGATATCAATCCGTGGTCAAACTCGTAAAAAGAAATCTAATCCTTATAACTCAACTCTTGAAAGCATCCAACTTAAAACCAAAGGTAAATTTGTACTTTGTAAATTACACACTTCAAAGTGAAAACATGACATGGCTTCATTTGGAAACCGAAAATATTCACATCGCAGTATTTTATCTCCCGGATAGCATAAACTGTAATCAGGAAAACATACGATTTTTGTATGGTGCTGGTTCACTTAAGTGACTAGTAGAAATTCGGAGGATACAGGACCAGTTAGGTAATCTCAGCTGAGTCTACGGTTGAAATGCTCAAACCTGAAACGGGTTAGACGGTGGATTGGTAGTACAAAACAAAGCAATACTATGCTTTAAACAGGTTGAGTACGTTAGAATAGTAAATTTAAATTAACTAGGAAAACATTTTTGTCACATATATATATGATAAATGCAATTATAGTTAATTAAAGACGCTTAAATTTTAATATTAATAAAGATATATTATCAAATGGAATATCAACTAAAATTATGAAAGTTCCACGAAAATTCAGGATCATTCAAACCTAGATGGCCAAGGTATTGATAATGTCTGAACCAACTTCTTTTGGATGCACAAATTAGGCTTGTTAATATGGATCCCCACAGCCTCAGCAAATTGAGATTCGTAGGTATGCGGTAAATGACCCTGAAAGCATGGTTAACATCAATCTCGCGTTTTGTATCCACAAGATGAGATAAAATAGCGCCACGAATAGATATTGTTTGTCCTTTACTTAACCACGCAGCGAAATCCGACGAGAAACACACCTAATTGTGCGGCCTGTGTAACTGGCTCCACAGGAGCAGTTAAAATGGTAGATACACATGGAAGAGGTGAAATTAGGCAGTTTTTCTTTCACTCCCGAACGCAAAAGAGGAATGGTTTTGAAGACACAGCGTAATTAGGCATCAGGCAATGCCCACTTTACCGCATCTATAAGGCGCTGTGTTGGTATTGATCCTTGGCCATGTAGGTTCCCATGATAATTTAAACACATGCAAATGTTTTTATCGTTTCATGTTGTTTAATGTGGTTCTGCTCATCTGAGATATGTTATCATATTTTCCAGCGACAAAAAATAGAGTGGTTAATACATGAAATTAAAATTTACTTTACCTGAATTCCCATCTGAAATATTTTGTTTAGTAATAAATGTTATTATTAAATATTGCTAAATTTGTCATTCATTTCATATGAAAGTTCAAAACAACTCAACTACAGAGCAGTGAAACTATTTACTAATGATTGATTTAGGTGAACAGTGACATTCCACTCACATCAGCTACTAATGCTTGCTAACCTTATTGTGGGGATGTAAACAGTGGACGTAGATTCAATCCCTTTGGGGCCCAGCTCATCAGCAGTGTGTCTAGTTAGACTCAACTCACTTCAGACCACCCAATTTCTAGCTAACCAACTAGGCGAACTGATACCATTTTAAATCCGGTGTTAATGTCACTTCGATCTGGCTAGAAAGTTCTTCTGGTTGGTGTGGGTAGCATACAACTATTCATACCAATCAATTAGTAGTACATACTTTTACGTATTTACGCTTGCTTTCTTGATAACCATTTGCGGTATCAAGCAGATCGCATATTGTGATATGAATTATTTCAGTTTCCAAAAGAGACTGTGATGGCAGCTAATCACAAAATGTGTGAATTGCGAATTTGACAAAGCAATCATTTAACAGCTGTTGAATTCAGAAAAAAATATGTTGAAGTTTCACTTCAAGTAAGTATTTTGATATTTCTTTTGAATGTTTGTAAACTGATTATTTTCCAAGTTACTTTGGATGACTTTCGAACAAATAATGCAGATGACTTAAGAATTCCAATGAAAATTACCTATGTCTTGATCAGTAAGATGTTTTTGGATGACATTTCGTTACCTTAAGGTAGTGCACGTCTTTGATATTCACTATGTAGGCTGACAAATAACCTGAAAGCACTGAGTGTTCACAAAACAGTACTCAAAGTCAGTGCAATCATGGAATAATGCCATCAACATTCGGTGTCATTCACTAGCATACATCCGGACATGTGACTTCTTTTAATATGAAGGACGTGCTTTCTCATATAATGTAAAACTGGTGACTTAGAGTCCATGTTGTTTCAGAGGTGTAATGACTAATAATGCCAAATTTCTCAAATAGAAAGGCAGTAATAGAGGGAGAAGTAACAAGAGAATATGCCGAATTTAATTGTGAGGTAAAGTGGGGCAGGCAGTGAAGTAAATCTTCAGAGGAACACAAGTTAGTTACCTGGATGCAAGTTCTTATAAGTCATAATTGTAAGATACAGTCAGGTGCAGGTTGTTACATCTAGAAAGCTACAGGCGTGAAAAACAAGCGCTGCCAAACACTATTAGTGATTTGAAATAATTTTGTAAGGAGTTTCAAACAAAATATGCGTTATTCAGTTTAGTTTTGAATTTTCTCGTTTATTGATTGGGTCGAAGTGCTCGGTCTCAGGTTGGCATATCGGCATCTTGTGCAGATGCTTCGACAATGTCTGGGCATGTAATCAGAAGCTAGTTGGTGGATGATGACCAGCAGTGAAATCCAGGATGTGTGTTTCGTCCTGTTTGAGACTCGTCACTGGATTTACCTGCAATCCACATTGAGGAATGATGAGCCTCAGTGGGATTATCACAACTCAATGTGGAATGCAGGTACATCCAGTGACGAGTCTCAAACAGGACGAAATGCATATCCTGGATTCCACTGCTAGTCACCATCCAACATTTAACTTCAAAATATGGATTAAACAGTAAATTTCATTATGAGTAAAATTTTGGGTTTGCTAAGTAAGAGGTGAAGTTGACATTAAAGCGAGTCATTAATCGAGGGAGGAATTACAGGGATAACCAGTTTCTATAATGTCGATGATACGTGCTTACATCTTTGGTGGCCTGCTTTCATCACTGAACTACCTAGCACAATGCATCATATTTTCTTTAATTTTTATTGTCTTAACCATTCAGTTATGTCCTTGAGTCGCAAAATATACTGACGTGCATTTTCAATTGGCTTTCAAACTACCGAAGAGTATTTCTTGGTGACATAGGGAAAATACCATATGCCTCAGATGCTAATGTATTACGTTACATGATTAACTATACACTGTTACTATACCTGAAGATCCTGGATGAGGAAAAAGTATTACGCAAAAAATAACGGTTAGAGTTGTTTACACTGTTCAAAATAAAATTTTTTTAAAAATTTATTTTATAGTTTATTATAAAGTATAAAACTGACAGCTTTTAGGTAGAACAAATTAAAAATAACTAGTGGCCGTATGCATCATATTTCAGATCAGAGAGATTAAGGGATTAGAAATTATCCCCTACTTCAAATCCGCATTATCGAATGAAATAACGGTGGTACAAAGATACATCTTCAGATATTTATCACCCCATGAGTTGTACTGCAACTATAAAACATTCATATTTCGTTTGAGTTATTTAGAAGTGTTATTTGAAATTCATGGTAAGTTCAAGAGATGAAAGCAAATATCAGTGAATATTTTGGTCTGGTAGATCATGCTTTGGTGTTTCAAACAATCACTCCTAGGTTCCGTTCTTTGTGGGAACACAGGTAAATCCAACTAACGAACCTCGAATATGACGAAACACGCTTCTTGGATTTCAGTGCTAGCAAAGAACAAACAAGTAGAATTTATATTTCCTCTTGGACTGTTAAAATGGAGTCACAGTCAACTATTCTATGATCGTGAGGATTCGAAATTATAGAGAATCGCTTGACTTCATAGTTACATATAGGCATAGGTGATGAGTCTGATTAATCTTAAAGCTTACATACAGAGACTGAAATTGAGTGTTTATCGTATTCACAGATCGAATACAAGGTATTTGGAATTCGGTTGGCCCATAAATGTGGTGTTGTTAATTTAACTGGAAACTGTATACTCATAGAATAGAATAATATAAAAAACTATCAAATATTATATGAATTTTCGAAAATTGATTTACTCTGTTTGCTTGATATTTGACTGGGTTACCATTAAATTTGAAAGTTCATAAACCGATGTTAATTCGAAAACTTTTGAAATTACCCGAGCCTTTGTGTGATTCTGGAAAAGTTGGTCATAAAACTTTCTATGTTAGGCCATTTAATAAAACTAAAATTCCAAGTGAATATTCTAACAAAATTACATTATTCTTAAAAGGGCCTTGATTCGATGTATTAGATTTTGTTTCTGAAATTCACATAATCTAATGAAGTATTATTTTCATATCTTTATCCTTTCATTTGTTTTCTCACCAGTACCTTATAAAAAGACATATCAGGGTTCTTTGATGAGATTTCGATTAAGGTACAACATTTGTACTGTATATCATCCCCATTTTATTACAATAAAATGCTCTGTATTTGCAAAGTTTATTGGCTTTATTGGATGTTTCTCTAATTAATAATTCTTTCCACTATATACAGAGTTTTTTATAAGCATGACTTGATCGTGAACAGTAACAAATTTTCATCGACTAAGTTTACAAATTTTTCAGTGAGACACACAGGTAGGCCCCTTGTGGTTCGTCTGTTTAATGTTGGACTAAACTGCATTTAACTGTAGTTTTTGTTGGAGTTTTATGAGCTTTAAAAATTAATCCAGTGTGGTTTAAACTAGAATTCCGTTATAGTACACACTGCAGTGATACAGTTGCTAATAATCATAATAAGCTGCCCCATCACTTAAACTTTCAAACTATGTTTATATAATTCTGTTATTTTCTATCTTTTTGTTTTATTCGTAATTACATTTTCATATCTCTTTGGTAATGGTGTTGTGTCATTTATATTGCATGTGTTTTGTGTGGGTTCAATGAACAAAGATTTGGTGATCAACCTCTTTTCCCAACTGTCTAAGTTAGATAGATTTTAGAATCATAGCTGTGCCCTATCCAATTGTGTGTCAGTTCATGAATTGTGATTATTGACCTTTTTTCTAGGCTGGTCATCTTTTTGGGGTTAATCAATTTACACTTTGCTAAATTGCTATGTTAAGATAAATTGACTGCCTGGCTAGTATTTTCAATACTATTTTTTTATTTTGAGCCTTTTTGAACTTTCTGATAGATTTTGTGGGGTAGTTATTCGACACCGGTACTCATATCTGTTTCACTTGCTCATTTAGGCTTTCCAACTGGATTCTTGGAATTTTCAATCAGTTGGTTAGGCAATTAACTAAGGCCACCTTCACTGATAAGGAATGAGATGACCAAAAGTTTAAGTATTCACTACAAACTGACGGCTTTTGATAAGCAACTGTGGCGTAGTTTTCCCTCTTCTGTCTATAGAACAAAGTGGGTAGTCAACCTTTCAACAAGTAAATTGAGTTCAAGTAAGAAAACATTGAACAAGAATGAAACGAAATATTTCGCATAAGCTAACAGTAAGCCGTCCTCTGTGAGCTTACAAGTTAGAGGTTATTTGCCAACGGAAGTGGTGGTCAGAAATTTAAGAAAGTCGACACAGCGGACTCTTAATGCTGGTCACTTGGAGCTCATATTTCTACACCTTCTGTTATAATACTGGATCTCGAATATGAAGTGCTATGCTAGCCACATCTTCCTACATGTATCAGTCCAACCACTCTAGTAGAGCTAGCTATATTGGCTATTTCTCTAAGCACTTGATTTTTTGGGCTAGTGGACACCTGCCAATATTTTTATAATAAAGCTGTGATAAAAAGTACTAACAGTTCGATATTGGCACATTTGATTTAGACTGGTCATAAAACCACAAGTGAAGAACATTTTTTCTATCATTTGCCGTTTGCTGATAATATACTTTGTGAAGTCTCTAGATATCGGATGATCTAAACATTGAAAACTATTACGGCTGACTTTAAACAGGAGAAACTTTGAGTGAAAAAGTAACAGCTTTAGTCACTGATGATTCTCTTGGGCTTGATATCATTATCAGCAACAAATTGTGCTCGAAACGTCATCAGTAAATAATACTGAATGCCAATGAGACTTTAGCAAAATAAATCTCCATAATAGGACCAATAAAATTTAATTCGAACATTAATCAGAAGCACCCACGACTTTATATTCATTTTTGATCGTTTACCTTGACACATGTCGTTCACTTTAGTACTACATTTTTATTTACTGACATTTACACACTTTTGAACTGTAATCTATTACCAGGTTATTCGTGCACACCGCTAGAGAATTTGATGGTAACGATATGATGGTATTTAACAAACAGTGTTTTCAATATCAATTTTACTTAAATTAGTACAGATATTAATTTTTTAAATTTTTTCTTCACGTTCACAGTGGAACATAGGGCTCCAAGCTATTGGCTTGAAGTTTCTGCACCAGTGTTTATTTTACAGAATGGGGTTGCTAGCTCCATACCCAACCTTTCCTCTTTACTAGCATTAATATATATATTATATAATAATAATATATATATTATAATATATATATATTATATAATAATAATACATAATCATTTCATCAATTATGACTAGAAAATTTAGAAATTAAAAAAAATAGTTGTCTTTATTCTCTCTTAATTATCGTAGCGTTGATAGGGTTGTCTAGATATTTAGGACAGGTGTTGAATCATTCCTATTACACGTATTTGCAGTCGATTCAATAAATAAAGCCTCAGTTATCAATCTCTCCCTCTACCCTGTTACATCTAGATTTTGCTAGGTTTTTGTGCTCCTCTAGTTCGAATGCCCGTTCTACTACTTTGACCTACGTATTTGACCTGACAACTACTCCGGCAGGGTATTAGATAAACCGAATAGTTTTGTTTAATTGGCTTCACCAACAGGATCCTTTAACTGACAAAGCTTGTTTCTGATTGAGTTTTTGGGTTTGAATGCCACTTTTATTCCTGCCTTGTCAGGAATTCTGCGGAAGGTTTCTGAGGTATCGTCTTTGAATAGAAGTACTGGTGATGATTTAGATTCCATATTGTTGGTGTAGTCTTGCGTATATTTGACATGCATATTGTCATTATTTTTATCATCACTAACATTACTATCATTATTTTATTTTTACATTTCCCTACATGTTTTAAGGCTTCTCTTATATGTATCATTTCCTGTCTTAGATTTTCTTTGGTACTAGTTAATTTTTGTGTTTTGTCACTTAAACCTTTCACCAATCCTATTTCCACTGACATAGGATGGGATGATCGGAAGTCCAAATGCCTGTTTGAATGTGTGGGTTTCCTCTAAACACCAAAGTTAAACTCCTCATCTTCTTTCCTTTTTCACTACAATCTAACATTCCAAGCTCCCTGTCCTTCCTGACTTTCCAACTCACAAGTGAATTGAATCGCATCCAACTTTGAGTTAATGTGTTCAAAAAATCTATCTAAAACGTGGGTTCTAGGTACAGTGAATGTGTCATCTACATACCTCCAGTATACTTTCGGGGTTGAGGTGAACGTTTCCAATGCTAGGATTTCCCACATATTCATGAATATATCTGCTACAACCGGGGATATTGAGGACCCCATGTCAACACCCCAGTTTCGTTGTAAATCTTCCCCTAGAATTAGAATGCAATGGAAGCCAAGCACACCTGCAACCCCAGTATTATAACGCCAAGTGACACGTTCGATCTAAGATCAAGTACTTCATCAAAAATTACTACGTGTATATAAATTGACAATTTCACAAATTTTCGGCGATTTCATTCTCAAAAGCTGTACAATCGTGTTTATGTAGATTATTTTACATGGATACAATTATTATTTGTTTAATTTCACATAGTAACGAAGGTGATAATAATTTTCAATTTGATATGAAATTTTGAAGGTACGAGTATAGATTACAAGGGCTTAGAGACAAGATTTCATAGGATTAGAAAATAGTTACAACGTATGCAAAAATCAATATTTGATAACTGGAGAAATAATTTTAAAGGCGAATCAAAGGTGATAATTATTTTCGACTTGATATGAATTACAAGAGGCTTAGAAACGCAGGGATAGAACGAATTACAGGTGTGAACAAAAATGAGCATGGAAACAAATTGAAATCAAAAATTTTCAACTTGAAATGTTAGTTAGGAGGTATGAATATAGATTATAAGAGGCATAGAAACAAAAAATTACACAGGATCAGAATATAATTGTAAAATGGTTATTCTAAACGGATTACAAGTGTGATCAGGAGGAGCATGGAAACAAAATTAAAATAACTGTTTTTATAACTGAAAAAAATTAGGTGGATCTAATGAAGACTGAGGGACTAAGAATCAGACACACAGCGAACGAAAAATCCTCTAAAGTGAAAAGCGAGAACGAAAACAGACGAGGAAGAGAAAAAAACGGAAGCAAAGGGAACACACCAAGCTAGGTCCATGGTAGTTGTAGAGGTTGGACTAATTTCTTTTGAACACAAAGCTCCGGCTTCTCGATGCATATTGCGAGGGCTTCTGCAGTACAAAGAAGTCAGAAACATACTGCTCTTGGTAGGTTTCTGTTGACTTTGTAAATCACTTTGAAAGAATCGGTTGAGATTTTGTGGGAGGTGCTGACCAGATGTTCAATAATGACACTTCTGATTGAACCAGTGTCTCCTCTTTGCAGCCACGCTGGGTGGCGTTCTCTAACACGTTTTGAGAGGACGCGCATACAACGACCTATGTATCTAGCTCCGCACGAGCAAGTAAACTGGTATATGCACATTGAATTGGTCATATGAGAGAGTTTGTCCTTCGTGTTGTTTCGAAGTATTGGACGGCTAGAGAATGTCACTCTTAGTGTTACTGCAGGGAAGGTCTTCTTTAAAGAGCTGGATATTCTCCTCTTCAGGATATCAGCTGCCAAATCTCCTTTGAAATTCAGATTTGGATACAGTGTTTTCTTTGGCGCTGAATCGCATTCTTCTCTTTTAGGTTTAGGTTTCATGTTCTTTTCGACCAAACGTGTCGAGTAGCCATTTTGAGCCAGAATATTTTTGAGGAATAGGAGCTCCTCTTCCATGCAATCGCTGCTGCAGATTTTTCTAACGCGATGGGTTACTGCGCTGATGAGGGCTCGTTTTCGGCTCAAAGTTACCGAACTATAGAAATGCGTTAGTTGGCCATTCCATGTCGGTTTTCTGTGGATGGACCTCTTCAGGGTTCCATCATCTCTTATTGTCAATTCCACATCCAGAAATGGAATATTTGGATCGTTTTCTAACTCCATTGTGAATTTAATTGAAGGATGGGAATTATTAAATCCTTGTAAGATGCAGTTGAAGTCCGAGTTATCGTAGCAGACCATAAAGGTATCGTCAACGTACCTTTTTATAGTAGTAATTTGTTTATTGTTGATTTTAAAACTCCACTCTCCAAACTGGCCATAAAGCAGTCTGCTAAAAGCGGGCCAAGAGGAGATCCCATTGCAATTCCATCTTTCTGTCTTTAGATGTCACCGTTGAAGGTGAATGAACTCAATGAACTCAAAAGTATCACGAAGAAAGTATTTGCATAAGTGTTGTCTTACCGGCTCCAACATTTCGGTTGTCCGAGATGTACAATTCACCTTCAACGGTGACATCTAAAGACAGAAAGATGGAATTGCAATGGGATCTCCTCTTGGCCCGCTTTTAGCAGACTGCTTTATGGCCAGTTTGGAGAGTGGAGTTTTAAAATCAACAATAAACAAATTATTACTATAAAAAGGTACGTTGACGATACCTTTATGGTCTGCTACGATAACTCGGACTTCAACTGCATCTTACAAGGATTTAATAATTCCCATCCTTCAATTAAATTCACAATGGAGTTAGAAAACGATCCAAATATTCCATTTCTGGATGTGGAATTGACAATAAGAGATGATGGAACCCTGAAGAGGTCCATCCACAGAAAACCGACATGGAATGGCCAACTAACGCATTTCTATAGTTCGGTAACTTTGAGCCGAAAACGAGCCCTCATCAGCGCAGTAACCCATCGCGTTAGAAAAATCTGCAGCAGCGATTGCATGGAAGAGGAGCTCCTATTCCTCAAAAATATTCTGGCTCAAAATGGCTACTCGACACGTTTGGTCGAAAAGAACATGAAACCTAAACCTAAAAGAGAAGAATGCGATTCAGCGCCAAAGAAAACACTGTATCCAAATCTGAATTTCAAAGGAGATTTGGCAGCTGATATCCTGAAGAGGAGAATATCCAGCTCTTTAAAGAAGACCTTCCCTGCAGTAACACTAAGAGTGACATTCTCTAGCCGTCCAATACTTCGAAACAACACGAAGGACAAACTCTCTCATATGACCAATTCAATGTGCATATACCAGTTTACTTGCTCGTGCGGAGCTAGATACATAGGTCGTTGTATGCGCGTCCTCTCAAAACGTGTTAGAGAACGCCACCCAGCGTGGCTGCAAAGAGGAGACACTGGTTCAATCAGAAGTGTCATTATTGAACATCTGGTCAGCACCTCCCACAAAATCTCAACCGATTCTTTCAAAGTGATTTACAAAGTCAACAGAAACCTACCAAGAGCAGTATGTTTCTGACTTCTTTGTACTGCAGAAGCCCTCGCAATATGCATCGAGAAGCCGGAGCTTTGTGTTCAAAAGAAATTAGTCCAACCTCTACAACTACCATGGACCTAGCTTGGTGTGTTCCCTTTGCTTCCGTTTTTTTCTCTTCCTCGTCTGTTTTCGTTCTCGCTTTTCACTTTAGAGGATTTTTCGTTCGCTGTGTGTCTGATTCTTAGTCCCTCAGTCTTCATTAGATCCACCTAATTTTTTTCAGTTATAAAAACAGTTATTTTAATTTTGTTTCCATGCTCCTCCTGATCACACTTGTAATCCGTTTAGAATAACCATTTTACAATTATATTCTGATCCTGTGTAATTTTTTGTTTCTATGCCTCTTATAATCTATATTCATACCTCCTAACTAACATTTCAAGTTGAAAATTTTTGATTTCAATTTGTTTCCATGCTCATTTTTGTTCACACCTGTAATTCGTTCTATCCCTGCGTTTCTAAGCCTCTTGTAATTCATATCAAGTCGAAAATAATTATCACCTTTGATTCGCCTTTAAAATTATTTCTCCAGTTATCAAATATTGATTTTTGCATACGTTGTAACTATTTTCTAATCCTATGAAATCTTGTCTCTAAGCCCCTTGTAATCTATACTCGTACCTTCAAAATTTCATATCAAATTGAAAATTATTATCACCTTCGTTACTATGTGAAATTAAACAAATAATAATTGTATCCATGTAAAATAATCTACATAAACACGATTGTACAGCTTTTGAGAATGAAATCGCCGAAAATATAGGTTTGGTGAACTTTGTGTTGTCTTCTTTCTTATTTCAAATCTCTACATTCTTCTTCCGTATCTGATCTTAAATCATCTGTCCTGTTTTTTCTTTCTTACGAATTATTTCGTCTAAATTTTGAATGGCTTCTTAGTTGAATCAGTAGCATTTAAATAATGGAAGTGTTTTACAGTGTATATGCGAAACGTGAAATCATTACAGAAATATATAATGCAAATCAGTGGTGTTTATTATCACACTGCTAAATCCTAGATGTGACTTCAAACTTTCCGTTTAAGAAATTGTAAATTTTCCTCTAGAGACTTCATAGAATTCTTTCCTTTAATAGAAGTATACAAAGGAAAAGCAACTAATACGGCTGGATAACATGTGCTCCTTTTTATTATTTCTTAAATGTTTTTCAACTGCCTAGAATTTTAACAGTGCGAAAATATAAAATACAAAATAGGTGTTTGAACTGTCGCGTAGTAGCTTAACGAAACCCTAAATCTAGGATGATGTAAGTTGTTAAACTATCAAGAATCAGGAGGACTGACTATTTATATGATAATCTGACAAATATTCATAATCAAACAAGGCTAACAGAATTTAGATAACACATAGTGGAACAAATGTTTGTTCCTATATATTATGTCACTAGTCAGGAAATTGAAAAATTCAGTATCACATGACAAAACTTACCACCGCCTCCAAGGAGACTGCTTACAACTGCAACGAAATTTCAATAAATGAAATGAATGCAGACTTCTGAAATTTATTATTCCAGAACGTTACTGCTTTTTCGGAATAAGTAAAACAACCTCTGCAGGATTTTATATATCAAATATTCATATACCTAATTAGAAAAGTTACCATTTAATGCAATGAAGTTAACAATCTGTCTGCTTTCGTTATTGAAACTGTACAGACTTCAGACTACGTGTCAACACTTTATGGAATATTACAAATGAGTGTCTGACAAATGACCATGTAATCCAAAGGTTCTAGGGAAAGTAGTGTCCAGTTTAATATACTTTTTATGTTCCTGAACAAGGACACTTAAATAAAAGGAAAAATAGCTATCAGAAGTTATTTGGCATTGGGTTAGTGTCTACAACTACCAGGATTACTTTTAAGTTTGGAAGAATAATTCATTTTTTGAAAAATTTACATGGAAATATTTTCTTCCTAATAAACTGGAGAAAAGGCAGAATAAGTTAAGTGGAACTTACATTTTTTTGCACTTCCTCTCAAAGCTGATTGAAACGATCGAGTATGAAAGGTAGAATACAACATAAACTTAGTTTGGTTTCCCGAGAGAAACAATTGTTAAAAGTTAGTCATCATTTTACACAGAAATTACTGAATAAAATTTCATTGAACATTGTACTGCGAAACACGTCAGTCAGAAAAAAAATGAAAAAACAGAATATAAATTACTAGTATAAAGTATCACTGGAATTGTTCATTTTTAAACTTCAGCATAATAGGAAACCTCTGAGAGTGACTCCAAAATTGAGGGATAGTGAGGTAATGAATGAGGGAGAATAGGTAACTGACAAATTGAAGGCAATCTAATCAACCAATAAGTGTGTTGATTAGCTCACATTTATTGGGAACGTAGGAAGTGTTAAGTCTTAAGGTGTGTTTTGTAGTATATGTACGCCTACAAGATCTTATTTCTTGAATGGATATTAGAATAATCGTGGAGAATATCTACGTGCAATAATTTATCGGTAAGGCTTAAATATATCAGAAAAACTTCTCAATTAAGACATAAAAACAAACTCTGCGAAGGGAACCTACACGACTTTATTTAGTAAAGTATTAATGGAAACATCAAATATGAAATAGGCAGTAGCGTTTCTTTCAACAAATATACGATTTTCTGGTTGGAATCATTTTCTGTCAAGTTTCAAGGAATAGAGTTTCTATACAAAACAATCATGATATTTACCCCCTAAATAGTGTAGGAAATTCGTCGCTGAAATGTTAGTGTTGAAGTTGTTTTGTGATAAAAAATAAGACCTACAGAATAAAACGGGCGTTGGTGGCACAGCGGTAGCGTTCTGGGTGACCAGGCAGGTGGTCCGGGTTTCGACCCCCGGCTGATACACTCCTTCACCAAGCTTAGCCATTATTAAGACTGGTATAAAGGGAAGGTTGGGCATGAGGGTAGCAACCCCAACCTGTAAAAATAATCACAACCACAGAAACTTCAAGCTTCTAGCTTGAAGCCATACATCGCACTGGGAACTTGAGGAAATAAAAAACACAGTAAAACTGATTAGCTCAGAAAAGAGAACAGCTCTGAATGTATTCAACTTCGTTCCATGATTTGATTCATGGATAGCATCCAATAAATGAAACATTTTCATAAAAGTACACTTACAGTCAGAAACTATGTGTATATGTTAAATAAAACACAAGTTTTGATTTAAAACAATTAGCTCCCTTTATGAATTTAGACAAAGCAATAAGACGTAATTTGTCTGAGTCGTGTAATGTATTTGTGCAACACATTTCGAACAATCTGATCACACACACAGACTTGTCATACGAATATATATATGATAACATGCTTAGCACTTTCCTTTCCAACCAAACCCAGTTCTTATGGTTATAATCACAATCTTAAAATTATTCCAAATATAAAATATGCGAATCTTCAAAATTTCACACAGAAATCTGTTGTGGTTGGTAAAAGTGCATTATGAATCTACCACTTACCATTACCTGTATAATTATCAATAATTTCGTATGCGTAAGTCAGACTGTGTAAAAGATGCAAAAATTTGAGTATATCAATCAATACACAGGTAAATACTTTAGCTGTCACTAAAGGAATTCTGCATCCCACAAAATGTTTCCTTCTTGGAAAAATTCAGGGAATCACTGAGTTTTTACTTTTATAGTCATCGTATGAATTCAATGAGTCACTTTTTTTTTCAAATAAGATGCCATTCAACTAGTACATTTCATGCACTTCGGGTGATTGAGTTGACAGTGTTCGAGAATTTAAAATGTATTCAAGTTAACATGAAATGTTTAGAAATGTTATATTAAACCTTCCTGTGTTAACAGTGTTTGAAAAGCATACACACTGTTTGAATGGCAATGTGTTTAAAGCCTCTTACAGCCTAAACAGATTGAATACGAAAATGAGCCACTCCCAGTAGCTAAAAATATCTCCAGTAATTTCTGTATAAGTACAGACATTTAAACTGTATCATTAAACTGTCAGATAAAAAGTACTAACAATAATTGTGGATGGAGAAAACACAATGGTGAGACTAACCCTCTTGATTGCAGTAAGTTTGTGGACCAACTGGTTATGCTGAACATAATTTTTATAAAACGTTGATATCACTCCGATATTTCTGTTTGTTATGTTTTGTTCTGTTACTGTAAGCCTGAATAAGTGTGTATATAAGTCTAGCTTAAGACAATAACTGAATCAGTTATGAGTAATTTTAGTTTTCTCCGTTTGAACCATATGGTGAGAATGGATTAGAAATAAAAATTCAAAACTCCGGCTAAATATAACATCGTGAGATGTAGGTGCGGATGGTGCAAAACCGGCTGTTTCGAAACAAAGAGTTTTGAGGCTCACTGCATGTTCACGTTGATGATACAGAACGTTCTATTAGTCTTGCACCTGTGTTAACTCTCTCATCGATACCTGCGCTCATAATTCATTCCTTTCAAACCGCAGAGTTATTTATTAGATTGCTGAGCTAAAGTAAACACAGTTTATTCAACAAAACGTAATTTAGAGAAGACCAAAGGTCAAATGTAGCTGATTATTTCAGTGTTGTGATATGACAGTAGTAAACAAATTGTATGCATCACTGATTCAGTCAGAATAGAAGCAGTTTGACTGTCTCAGTCTCTTCTAAACAGACGAAATATAAAGTTGTTTGATAAAGGTCATACTGTTTCATACAGCTGATGGACAATAACTTTGGACATAATTGTCATTTGCAATCAAAAAGTTATAGGAATATAATTTCGAGATCATCTCACCCCTATTTTGTAAAGGAACTTATATTCAGTAAAGCGGATAATTTGAGAAATTTTAATATGACTTTAATGAGAAAAAACTAATGTGGAAATTCGCTATTCAGTTTTACCTTCTTTACTCTTTTAAATATGCAAGAATTTTGTATTACCAACTGTGGAATAAAACAGTTTCACTCTTCAACACTCAGCCATTCCCCAGGATTTAAATATGTGCATAAAGACATTACTTTTTCAATTACACAGTAACAAAAATAATTGTGTATTTAAATGGAGGATGATTTCTTGTATTCAGTTATGTTAATGAATAATGTTACGAATTTCATCTTTTGGAAATCCAATTAGTCATCATAATGATCCCCAAAAGGTTGGACAAAAATTACCATCTAACAGTTGTGTCAAGGATTTATTAGAAATCACATCTTAAGCATTTATGGTGAGTCCACTAACTTCTAAATCGATCTGATGACCGTCAGAATAAAAGTAAAAATTACAGTGGCAATCGAATGACTTAAGAAATTTTGACCGTAATTAAATATCTTCACCAGCTGATATTGAAACTACTAGTGACTACTGTAAAAGCTCTTCAGAACAATACGAAACGAATTCAAGAGAACAAAAGCGTTACTACTTGTAGAGTTAACAACTGGTTAGCTTTCCAATGCAATGGATAACATCATGATATTCACAACAGGATGGTACTGCTACTTGTCGCATAAGTGGTTGTTTCATTAGGTTGAATTTTCAACCTCAGCAACTAAATTGAGTTAATCAGCGCACGTTTGCTAAGTTAAACCATAGAACTTACCAATAGTTGCGTTTAAAACTGGATTTAAATAAAATTCATTGAGAATTTGATAATTTAACGGAAAATCACCATTAGAATGATACTGAAATAGTTAGCTTTCAAACTGTAAGCCCAAAAGATCGCAGAAAGGAAAACATTTTAGTCAGTGCATTTATACTGCTGTAGAACTAACTGTTTGTTATTTGGTTTCAAAATAAGTTTTCATCATTGTCAGTTTTATCACTTTCCAAACTAACAAACATGTTGAAGATTTCCAGATAGACACTACAGCCTTTATTAATGGGATAGTCTACTGGTAAATATATTCGTTTCCTTAAAATATAGCACCTTTACTTTTGATTCTGCTTTCATTGTGTATGACAAGTATATCAGTGGAAATAAATCTCGCATTCTTCCAATAACTGGAATTTTTATTTCATACGTACAGTATTTGGATACATAATACGGAAAGTATGATGTGTAATTATAAGTAAGAAAATGTAGAAACGTACCATAATCTGTCAAAACATCTATTTTAATAGAAATAAATGAAATGTAAATAAATATATGTTTAGGCTGTTTAAACTGTTACAAAGCCTTACTAGACAATAAATGTAACTAACATTATTAGAAGTTCATATAAAGTTTCATTTCAAAAGAAAGAAAAATAGAACTAACATAGACAAATGGAAAATAACTGCAAATTTCGATAATAGGAAGATAATTTGTCAATAAATTACAGAGTGAAATCAGCTGCATGATAACGCTGACAAATAATTCAATTATTCCGTCTATAAACATGCGGCATGAAATATTGACATAATGTCTTAGGCCACTAAAAGTATATCTGCTTTTGCTCGATTTTCATATCTAATCAATCATGTAATATGTGAATAAAGCAGCTCAAGATTCCCGGAATAAAATGCAGAAAATAATCCATTCCTTTTCCATATCTACTTAGTGTAAGCAGTATGAATGTCTTAAGTGCCCAAGTTTTATACTTATATCAATAGGAAAAACAATGTATTTCGAGCTAGTGAAACAATCGCAGCTGTGTTAAGGATTATTTGCCTTCATCAAGATAAAATAATTAATTAGATAAGAAAATTTAAGTCAGATATCTTTTCCATGGAAGATTCGAACAGTATTCCTCCACTTTAACAATAATATAAAGCGACAGCTCCAGAGTTAGTTGTCTTCATTGTCTTCATATGCGTTAGCACCACTAATATGGAAATAAGTAAATATATTCCACAAAGGTAACGCGCTGAAACCACTATCACAGTATGACTGATAGGTCTGTTTAAAAATTTACGATGTCAAAATACACTTGTGATATAAGTGTGTATGTTAATTAAGTACAATAATCCTAAGGTAATGTGAACCAAAATACTTTGATTTACAAAAGAATGTGTTAGCCAATAATAATAGCTTCCTTCTGAAAAGTGTGTTTATACATAAAAGAGAATTTACAATGAGTTTCATTACAAGTAATGTAATAATCGATGATCCATAATCTGAAGCAATGTTTTTACATCCACAGTATGCTTCAGTGCTGCTCCACAATGTCCTTCCTTGATTTGCCTCAGAAAATTCCTAGCCCTAGGTAGAATGTTGTTTGAAATCGTGAGCTAGTATAGATTACGACTCATTGTGTTAATTGAAAGCATCGAACAGTTTAAGATGGAGCAAAAACGAACTGTTTTGGTGGACAGAGAATTCAGGTGATCCAATGATTTAAGCAGGCTGCCGTAACGCGTTATTGGAATGTAATTGCACAAAACATTAAAAAGTCAATGGCAAAATACTAAACCTACACAACAGAAAATACATTTCTAGACACGTTGAAGAATTTAAAGAATTTCGAAGTTGGAGATGTTTATTTGGCTTCCAAAATATTTTCCTTCATTAATGTGATGAGAACAGATCTGACAGTCAGTGGTGACAAACTATACAATTAAATGAGTTTTCATTCTTGAATTAGTAGTCTGAGTTAGATGGAAAGCAGCCAGTTGAGCTGTTTATGACTGTTTTTCGAATTCACCGAAAAGAGTCTCTTCGCTGAACACCTTCTTTTCTTTTATATGATTGAATGGAAATTTTCAATTTACTTAAACGTTGCAAGGACCCACGGACGGTGAAGGAGCTAGATGGTTTCCTACGTTACTCCGTCAAACTTGCAGTAGCGAAGACTAAGGTGAACTTCTTAAGAGAGTGTGTAGATCAACATGAATACCCAAAGATGTACTGGAAATCACTCAGACGCAACCACATTCATCCGAACACCAGAACGCTGAGACGACACACGCTAAACAACATCGATTCCATTCAATCACGCATTCCTGAGCTAGAACGAAATGTCTACTCACGTGCTCATGTAGTGGAAGACTTAGATGCAGAACTACGCCAACCCTTCGAAGAATATGTAAAAGAAGTCACAGAGAAACAATGCGACAACATCAAATCTGACCTCCTCAAGAGCCTAAAGCCTTCAGTTAACACCGAACGTCCGTTCCCAAGCAATCCAGAAAAGTATGTATTCAACCTCTCAAACATCACATTATCCACAGCTCAACTAGAGGTGTTATCTCTTGGTCCGAAATTCTGCAAAAACCACGAAGTGTTCACAAGCTTCAATGCCTGGTTCAATTTGAAAACCTGATAAATCAAACCTATGACTTGATACCAACGTCCGATGAGAACCTACAACAATTCAAATCAACTGTCCTCGACTGTTGCCACAAATTTATAAATGGCAATCCAAACGGAAGATCCGTACTAACGAAGAAACACTACAAAGAGCTGAAAGAATTGATGAACAATGAAGAGATTATGCTGATACGTCCTGATAAAGGTGGAGGAATCGTAATCATGAACCGTAAGGATTATATCAGTAAAATGTTGACCATTCTATCTGATGAATCTAAATTCACCAAACCGGCCAACGAGAAAAACATGACGGAGCAGATTGAACAAAAACTAACAGACATCCTCCGTAAACTAAAGAACGAATCCTTCATTACCAACGAAACGTTTGAATCCCTGAGACCATCTGGTTCAAATATACCAAGACTCTACGGACTTCCTAAAGTACACAAGATGGGCACTCCACTTCGACCGATCCTCGACATGACTAATTCACCTTACCACCGCACTGCCCAATGGCTAGCAGACTTACTTGAACCAATCAGAAAACAAGTCTCCCGTCACTCAGTGCGAGATTCATTTGAATTCGTCAACTGCGTCGAAAACGTCAATGTTTCTAATCAAACGATGATCTCACTAGATGCTGTCTCATTGTTTACAAATGTTCCACTAACTGAAACAATTTGTCACATATGCGAGCTCATCCACTCAGAAGGAGTAAACATCGGCATACCCACCGACTACCTAAAAGAACTTCTGCTGAGATGCACCCTAAACGTCCAGTTCTCCTTTAACAATGAAATATATCGTCAAAAGGATGGTATAGCTATGGGCTCACCACTAGGCCCTCTGCTTGCGGATTTCTTCATGTCGAAACTCGAAAACACTTGCCTAAAGAATATGATTGACAACTTTGAACTCTACAAGAGATACGTCGACGACACCTTCATCATCTGCAACAACGAAGAGAATTTAGAAGATATCCTGAAGTTCTTCAACAACTGCCACCCTGCGATTCAGTTCACACTAGAGAAAGAGTCTAACTCAAAGATATCTTTTCTTGACGTTCAACTAACGAGACGCCAACAAGACGGTACATTAAAAAGATCCATCTACAGAAAGCCAACGTGGAACGGACAGCTCACTAACTTCCACAGTTGGGTGCCTCTATATACTAAACGAAACTTAATCCGTTCACTAAGCCACAGAATACGTAGAATTTGCAGCCTGGACGCCATAGAAGACGAAATGAACACTCTTAAGAAAATCCTCCTTGAAAATGGCTATCCAGAAAGATTTATCACAAAATCAATGAAACCCAGACCAGAGAAGCCGCCAACACCCAGTGCTCCAAAAAGACTTCTCTACATGAACCTACAGTTCAATGGAGACCAATCTACAGAAATACTGAGAAATCGGCTCTCCCGCTCATTGAAGAAAACCTTCCCTGCAGCTGAATTACGACTGACGTTCTCCACGAGACCAATGATTCGTATGAACGTGAAGGATAAGCTACCGCTGTTGGCCTCATCTATGTGCATCTACCAATTCACCTGCTCGTGTGGAGCCAGGTATATCGGCCGTACTCAGCGTTCGCTATCCAAACGCGTCAACGAACATTTACCTTCATGGTTTTATAAAGGAGAAAACCGATGCCCTCGCAGCTCGATCCTTGAACATTTGATCGACTCTGGACACCAAGTCAAACCAGAAATAAACTTCAAAGTTATCTACAGAATACAAGGCAATCTTGCTAAAAGTGTACGGATCAAACTTCTCCACATCGCAGAAGCAATGGCAATTCATCTGCTAAATCCTGAACTCTGCATACAAAAGAAATTCGTTCATTCATTAAATCTACAATGGACGTAATCTTTCTTAATTTCAGTCTTACTAATTGTATTATTTTGTCTTTTTCATTTTATTTTATCATTTTATTATTTCACATCTTCATTTATATTATTCTCTACCCCACCCTTTTGTAATCTCTACCCTCATTAACAATGTTGCTAACTTGACCCACGTCCAATTTCTAGTCAACTATGTTACGTCATCCGATTAACTTACTTATTTTCAACTGTATTATTCTCTAACCCCACCCTTATTTAATTTTAACCACCACTCATTAACACTGTTGCCAACCTGACCTACTCTGAATTCTACTCAACTGTATTACGTCATCCAATTCACTTAATCAATTCTATTTTATTTTCTATCTTAACGTTTGTCTCCAAGCCAAATAATACTTACATTACATAATTATCTAAACTTTATAAATCTAATGTACACACACACACACACAAACAAAATTGTATATATATGCGATTGTACAGCTCAGTGAATGAATTCGCCGAAAAAAGTCTCTTCGCTGCACGTCTTCTTTTCTTTTATATAACTTCAGTTGTGCTATTAGAAGACGTAAAATGAAGTAACACATAATTGGTTTGACTGAACAAGACTGCATCTAAGAGATAACTTTCCGAAAACTTCTAAATATACAAGCAGCCTCTCAGGTATCATCATTCGGATAATCTAGAAATTAAGTTTGTAATTTATGGGTAACGTTTATAGGCGCCCGAGGTTGCTTGAAGAGTTGGATATTTTGTTAAATCTTTACATTTAGCTATTTCCTCAACCTTTCTAGGTTTAGAATCGAAGATTATAACATACAATAGCCAAACGTATTTCATAATATCCCTGTAATTAGGAAATTGAAAATTCTGGGAATCCCGAAATCTCCACAAATGTAGTCTATTCACTGTGAAATGATTAAAACCGTAGGTGCAACTAACCATTCTCTTTTATAAACGACTTGATCATTTTCCGTAGAATTATTCAAAATTATTAAAACTCACCTTTTGGATCTCCGCCCATTACTAAAATATTAAAAAAATGTTTTACTGATCAACAAAGTGCAGCACTTTTAATGTCATGAGTTGTCAGTTTGCTAAAGTGAGTCGGTTTTATAAAAATGCAACTAAGTTTGATGTGTAGGTTAATCTCTTTGACAGATTAATTGTTCATCTGACAGGATAAAGTAATTTGCTAAGTAACCTGAATAAATAATATTACGTGTCCAAGTTTTAATCTGCTCGTATATCTGTGTGTATGAGTGGCTTATCAGCATAACGCATTCCATGAGCCATATGTCCCGTCAACTTTTTACGACTGAGTGTTGTAATTATTACTATTCGGAGTATGTGTATACATATGTATATATTTGTTCATATACATTTGTTATTTAAAGGTTGTACACTAGCTTTCCTGTTCATCGATAAATTTCGTCAGCTATTTTATTCAAACATCATCTATGGTTAAACTTTGAGCTTTACCGAAACAAAAAAGTTTGCACTGACAGCTTTCATAGGATTTGTATAATTTTTGCAAGGTAAATTAGTAACTGCATGACTGGCAAATATAAAGCCGTAGTTCAGAGCTGCAATCTGTTCACTCATTTATTAAGCTGTAAAACTGGTATAATGTAGGCCCCAGGAGAGGCGCCAAACAAACACAGTGAATCAATCTGAGGAGAAGAAAAAAGACCATCGAGGAATAAAATAATGAAAACATTCATATAAACCGCATTCAAAGGAGTATTCATTAATTCAGAAAAAAATGGGGAGTGTTCATCATACATATCCGATAACGTATTGATCCACTGTGGCTTGCTTAAAATACTAAGCTGCTCAAATTTCCTTCCAGTATAATGCATAAACTCACCCCCTTTTACTGTTTTAATATAATTATTATGTTTTTGGATGGCCACATGAACTTGTGCACATTTTTAGTTTCCTAACAACGAAATGCAAGCGATTCTCAAAAAAATGACCTAAAAATAAAGACGTTTGAATATTGCTTCAGATGGCATGACATAGAGTCACACGATGTGTTACCATATGTACTAGTTTATATGAAGATCCTGTACGGAGAGTTGATATTTTGCAATTTAAATACCCTAGAAATTATATACTGTACGCTAACATGTCTAGAATAAAACATTATTTTTTGGCTTGTAAGTTCAGGTAGTGTTTGTATTTACTTTTTCAGAGGTTAACAAATAGCCTAGAATCTAGACAGGTTCGGTACTGAAAAGAAACGGCGTAGAGAAAAGCAAGCCTTTTTATTCCACCACTAACTTCCATAGCCGTAGTATATTCTATTTCACGTGTCGAATGTGACAAGAAGTTTGTAACAGTGTGACTTCATATACCAAGAAAAACATCTAGTATTATATGATGAGTAGCATTTAAACACACTTAACTGCTCACTATCCGGTCAATTTCTGTTCTTTAAATGTCTTTTTCTTAACTAGTTAGATGACGATTTCCAAAGACCACTATTGACTTATTTAGCGCACTAATACTATGCTTTTTTATGTTTTATCACATACAAGGAATGTTGAAACCCACCACTGCATAAATGGATATGGAATAAAATCACTGTGGGGTGATATTTGTCTACAAGTGGACTTTTGTTTTTGCCAAAAACAAGGGAAATATCTTTTTTAAAAGACCAAGAGAAGTGAAAGAAAACTGAGAGTTATGGGAATCATTGTCATCTTACTATGGTATTTTTCACAGATAAACTCTACTTAATATGGGTTTACTAGTCCCTGTAGGTGACCAAAATATTTTTATTTCATTCTCTGTACTGAGTCAGTTCAGTAACTAAAGTCACCATTTGATTCATGAACTTTGAAAATGTGTCGTCCTAGTGGACCCACTTAATGCGACTAAGTATAATATTAAACAAAACCATTTTTAATTTACTAGGCATTTTCAAGATAGAATAGAGTACAGTAAAATAACCACCCCTATAGAAACTTCAAGCCACTAGCTTGAAGCCCTATGTTCCGCTGGGGAACGTGAATAAAAACAAAGTGGACACACTACAAAGCGTCTATCATGATTAATCTATCCGAGTAATGTGCCTAATTCATCTATTACATTAAATTAAACCTATCATATTGAAAAATGGTCACACTTCTCTAAGAAATTCCCGTTCACCATAGATAGCCGCTGTGAAAACTCAGAAGGAATGCTATTATATCGCTCTTCTCTATATGCACGTATCTTCAAATATCAGGTACAACTGCTTTTGAATATTAAATCAGCAGTTTTAAGAGTCAAATATTATTTGAATGTCTCTGGAGTAATTACAAAGGAATGATTTTAAACTAAAAAAGAAATAAGTATACGTGTATAACTCACGCCAATCCCACCAACAATAAACTGTGATAAAAACCAAGATTTCTTTATCACTAAATGATTACACATAACAGACTATTCTGAATAAAAATATCATCTTGAGAACAATTACATACATTGTAGTTTATTAAACTTAGTTCACAGCTCAGGATGTTGCAGTCGTCATAAATGATTTGCTAATGAATTCTGATTTATAGATGCGTTAAGTTATTTGTAAGATTTAATTTTGGTGCGTATTTCTTAACAGCTTGTTTGATAAAATAGGATAGATTACTAAAGGTGAATGAACATCACTGGTGTTACAAAAAGCTTTTGTCACAAACGGACATCAGATAGGAAGACGATTTTAAGATAAGAAGCAGAGGTGATGTGTCTCATCCGACTGTCCCAAATAACTCACATATAGTAGTGGTTATAAAACAGTCACGTTATTATTTTCCGATTGAGACATTTGAAATGCAAGGACTCAGAGAACTCGTGAGGCACGAACACACTGCAGCTGCTGGTTATTCATGAGGGTGAAAATCTTAGCAAGAGAGGGAAATTACGAAACCGTGTTTATATTAATAACTCTTTAAAAATGAACTATAAAGGTCATGACATCTTACCTCCATTGTCCATTAGTATAGCCACTATGAATACTAAAATAAACAGCTTGTAAGGAAACATGACGTCTTAAAACTCGGAAATCAAAACGTGAAGTATTATCCATGTCAAAGTTGAAATTAAATATTGTTAATTTAACCAATGAAGCTGAAGATCACTATCACCGATAATCTTATATTGAAAGATGCAGATTTTGGTTATCGAAATTTTGTTTTGATTGGTGCTTAGCTCTGGCCAGAGATCGTGGGCGTTTTAAAGTAGGTGAAATCAATCAGGCCGTCTGTCAGTCTAACTACTAATCTAAGTTAGCAAAGAAGAAATTTTAATTGTTCAATTTCCTGCCTCGGTGTTCGACCCATAAATTAATTTCCTGAATTATTACTTCATCAGAATTTCCATCAGTAACATGTAGATTTGAAAAATATTAATTCCAGTGGTTGATTTCTAGTTGATCAGAGAATAAGCTTAGTAAGTTAAGGATAAAAATATAAAAATTGAAAGGTTGAATGGTGCATAATGTAACTGAATGAAATTATATAAAAATGTAGCATCGAAAATGACATGATCCCTGACTGATAGTATGATTCAATCAGCATCCACTATGTTGAAATGACTTTAAATGTCAAAGGATTTCTTTGAATTGAGATTCAAACAGAATTAATTGACTATGTTCGAAAAGCCTGACTCCAGGGCGCAGATCATCAGTCTTCAAGATGAACAGTCAAGCACCGTGTATCAGATCACCAGAAAAATTTGTGTCTTGTTTAATACAATGAATATTTTTTAGGTGAGAGATAACTATAGAGGAAAGTTTTTTTGCACACACTTGTTTTCCACCTTACTACTTGGTGGTTACTTTAAGTCGACTGACAAACAAAACAAGACAATTCTTCGAAAGTGTGCTAAGAACAACACTAATCAAAGAAAGTTAACGTATACGTTACACTGATTGACTTGATCTGTTTGTATTTTAGGGCAGAATTATTATCGACCACATGAAGTTGCTGACACTTCATGCATATCCCCTATTTAGCCTTCCTAGAAAAGATTACTTGTTGTCATAGCCAAAGACTTTGATTAATGGATTGCATGGAGTGTGTAATAAGCTATTAAATGTACTATATTCCAGCTACTAATTACTGAGGACTGCAACCAAATCACTATACTGAAATCAATAGAAATTTATAGTGACCAGGTATGGTTTAAGACTATTTCAAGACTGCATTTATTCTACAGCTGTTTGTGCCATGCAAATCCATTAACTGGTTGTTGTATTTAACTGGCTTTTTGACTTCTGGAATAGCAGTCGAACGGCCTGAATGTACCGTGTTGTATGAGTCATAAATTTGTCTGAATTAAGAAAGTCATGTTATAGATAAAATGAAATAATTTTTCTTCCAAGGATATTCTAAAAAAGATTTTCCTAGCATTATGTTATCCTATTAAACGTCTTTAGGAATGTAAGGCAAGACACACAACCACTCTTGTTTAGAACTCAACAGCTGCTCTCAGCTCACTCTCAGTAAATTATCAAAATCAAAACTGTCTTTCAAAAACGTTATAGATAACTTTCGTCATGTGAAAACATTTTAGGGAGAAAAACCGGAGTAATATAAGGTGTGACGTTTTTGATGTGGTTGTGTACTCTGAGCTGGATAGTTAATTTGCGAAACTTTTATCGCCTCACTAGGCGGTATCTTCAGCGCATACTTCAATTTGAAGTGGGCTTTTAGATTTCCCAACGGGTTTATTAACCATCTCTTCTGGTAACCTAGTACATGACTGGTTGTTTTTGTGTGTTTTCACACCTTCTAGGTTACTTGTATTGGAACTGATTGTTTCTTTGACTTGAACTTTGGCCCTTTGTGTGTGAGATTTCTTTCTTATCGGTAGATACATTTTGTCTATCTCAATGTGTCTATTGATTGACGATTCACTGGAATGCCAAGCTTCTAAAAATTCTCTAGCATGCTTGTTATTTTTTCTGTCTAATATTTGAACGTTGTCTCAGTCGAATTGATGTCCGTGGTTGTCTGTATGTAGTGATATGAGTGAGGGAGTGGATTTCATGTCTTTTGACAGCTAGCTTATGTTCATGGATACGAAGAAGAAGGGGGCGTCTACTTTGGCCATTGTAGTGTTTTTCGCAGTTGTTACAATTTATTTTGTAGGTGATGTTGGTTTTATCTTCTTTCACTGTTGAGTCTTTTGGTTGACATAGAAGTGAGTGAAGTCACTTTGCTGGTTTGTTTACGACGTCAATTCCTAAAGGTTTGAAGAGTCTTGTAGTGATTTCTGAGATATCTTTTATATACGGTAAGGCGATTTTCTTTGTGCTTTCCTTGGTGGCTTTTGGTTTGATAGGTTGGCTTGGGAGTAAATGTCTGTTGATGAAGTTTCATGGATATCCATTCTTTTGGAAGACGTCCATGAGATATATTTCTTCAATTTTCTTTAAGGTGGGAGTGCTGCTCTCATGAATAGTGTTTGTATGCAATTCCTTTTGTGCGTTATTGGATGTTTGCTGTTGTGATTCACGATTTGGTCTATGTGAATTGATTTTCTATAAACTTGAGTTTCTAATTCCCCTGTGGTTTTTCGCTTGACTAAGACGTCCAAAAATAGGATTTGGTTCTCGGATTCTTCTTCTCTTGTGAATTTGATGTCGTTGAAGTCGTTGTTTATTAGGTTATGAGTCTTATAACTCGTTTCTTTTGATTATTACAAATGTGTCGTCGACGTATCGTATTCAGATTTTGGGTTTGATCTTTAGTAGAATTGTTTTCGAGCCTTTGTATCACTGCTTCTGCAATAAAACCGGATATTAGCGATCTCATGAGAGTTCCTTTGACTCGTTCATATATTTGGCCGTTGAATTGGAAGTATGTTGTTATCCATAGGTTTATGCATTCCATCCAGCTTGTGTGTTCCATTTTTGATTGTTGTGGAAGGTGTTTATCGTTGCTAAGTAATTGCTCCTTGGTTTCTTTTGCTACTTTTTGTCCAATTGAGGTATATAATGCTGTGACGTCGAAGGATATCATTATCTCTCGTTCATCTATTTGGATGCCTCTGGTTTTCTTTAGGAATTGGATAGCAGAGTTGATGAAGTGATCACAAGATTCCGTTAGGTGTTTTAGTTTTCTGTATAGTTCTTTGGATAAATTATATGGTGAAATTCCTGGGAGTGATACAATTTTGTCATGAACACCTACAGGTATGTAAATTTTTGACCATTGTGTTTCTTATCAGATACAATTATTCTTTAATGGATTCATATTGTACTACAAAGACTGAAGTCTATTCCCATCTTTATTTACTTTCAAACACAGCGATCAAGAATGGGAACAAAGTGTGGTATTACTATCTGACATAAGATGAGAGTTTCACACCATACCAAGTAAATTATAAACTGACATTCATATACATACCCCAAAACAAATTTTTGAAACAGTCTACATGATTTTATGTTTAATGCATGCAAATGAGTTTTATAACGGTTTTTTATTATCCATAGCTTTTCAGGTGAAGTAACCCAATATGAAGATTGTGAAGACTGATCCAGTTATTCGATTTGTTTCTAAAATATCAGAATGAAGTAAGAGTCTAGAATCCGAAGACTGATAATAATTTTCAAAAAGAAAAATACCGTTTTCTGTTCAGCAAAGAAATATTCTTCCCCGAGTGCTTTTTAATTTCGAAGCTGTACAATCATATTTGTATTATGTAAGGAAGTTATTAAGTAGCACTAAAAATTCCCCAGTCGATATTCATATAATCGAAATATGATACGGATGAATCGCACAATTTTTAAAGGTCATTAAATAAGTGATACAGCATTGATATTTTAAAATATGGTCTTGTGTTTCCAAAAATTAAAAGTGTGATGATGATAACAATAAAAAAGTTTAAACTGTAGAGAAATGAAATGAGTTTAATTGATAAAATAGAATAAAATGAGAAGAACATTACTGTGACCAAAGTGAAGAAATGGGTTGAACAAGACGTTTCTGAACACATAATTTATGCATCTCTTTGTATATACCTAGAGTTCCGTTGGAGCATAAGTGGAGAAAACGTAAGCTATTACAGTGACTTAATTTAACCCTGTAGATAACATTCAAGGAGGAATCATGTGGGGGTAAATAACCTAACCCCGAAAGATGTTCACAAATCGAAGACTTCGAAATCTTACGCTCACCTTTAGTCAATGAAGCGTGGTCTTCAATGGTATTCTAAATGATGTCAGTCCATGATCATACTTCAGACCAAGTAGTGTTCAGCTACTCACTTCTAGAGAACACGCTTACAATGTGCCATAAATTTAGATACACAGGGGTATGTAAAAGGGTAGATTCACTCTTCTCCCTTTAAACATGATGATAATTATCTTTATTCCCATCATCTGTATATAGTGGGTGAGCACGTGCCTTCTTCTGTAATATAAATACAATAGTGAAGCTTGAAAGTGAAGTCTTTAGGAAGAATTATTTCCTCGCTGAATAAAAAACTGTCTTTTCCCTTAGAATAAATAGGCATATTCCCCGATAATAGTTTTAAGGATGGGAAAACTCAATTGTGTCTGTGACTGTACGTAAAACGTGAGCGTAGGTAGCACTGGATAACTATTAAAATGTTAGGAGTACAAAGGAAATGATTAAATACAGTAAATAGAAAACTCGTTATTTACCTTTTGTGTTAGGATGACAAGAGAGAATATTGCACTAATGGAAGTGAACAGCATAAACTTGACATATTTTTGATTTTCAAGTATTGGTTTGTAGGGATTTGTTTGATTGGTCACAGGATTTCATCATGATCTAACATCAGTTGGAAGACCATAATAAAACCTGGGAGTACTGGACAGCTGTTACGTCAACCTAGTTTGGGACTGTTCATCAGCACGCACCAAACAACATGGTTCGAATCTAGGACCAAGACGAGCTCGTCGACCACTCAGCCTATGGGACACGATCCAATGGCCAGCCCATGAATTCCAAATTCTGCCAATTCACGAGACAGGTGCGACCGCTAGCAAATGTCATCACCGAGTATTTGTCCTC